GGGGTCTCGCTCTTGCTCTGGCTGGTTTCGAACTCCTGAGCTCAGAACGATCCGCCCGCCTCGGCCTCCCAGAGTGCTAGGATTACAGGCGTGAGCCACCGCGCCCGGCCTAGTCTAAGCATTTTTACATTTGCAGCAACTCTGAATTTTTTGGGCAAGGCACAGATAGGTTAACTCTCCAAGATCACTCAACTAGTAAGTAGGGGAACTCTGGTTCCATGGCTGAAGCCCAGAGACAGGTAGAGACCGCTTCAGGGTCGCACAGCCACAGCCCCAGAGGTAGGAGCTGCTGGCTCCCTGCCAGGCCAGGAAAGCAATGACATCTGACTCCTGGCCAACTGGGGGCGGAGCAGAGGTGGAGCCGGGAGACCCAGGTGGCCTCTCAGAACCAGAGCACAGGCGGTTGAGTGCAGCAGCATGAAACAGAGCTGGGGACCAGGACTGCTCATCCTGGGAGTGGTGGTCCTCATAGAGGGTAAGCCATCTGTGTGAGGGAGGCAAGAGTGCTACAATGAGGGTGCAGGGGCCACCCTCTGCCCCAGCAGCCCCCGCAGCTTGGTACACAGCGGGGAGCCTGCCTGCGGGGCACCAGTCTGTCTGTGGCAACGTAACTGCATTTGGCTCTGCCTGTGGAGAGGTATATGTGGCCACCTGTGTCGAAACAGGTGGGATTTTCTCGGGCTGGGTTACTGTTTGTGTGCGCAGGGACTATCCACAGCTGCCTGTCTGTGTGTGAGGCTGCCGGCAGACTCCTTTCCTGACCTGTGCCCTGTACCCTGTGCCCTGTCTGACGCTACTTACAGAACAACCTCAGGCAAATTCTGAGCCCCCTGGCCTCAGTCTCCCTTTCTTTACCTCCGTCCTGTCTCTCAGCTCTCCTGGCCCAGATGTTTCATGGGTGTATTTGTGTGTGCCCTGTGAAAGGGACGAGGCAGGGCAGGGACCCTTTGGGAGAACCTCTGGTGGTTTCTGGGAAGGTGCGGGAATTTGAATCGTTAGAACACGGGTGAGGTCTCAATTTCTTGGCGCCCTCCCCGACTTAGACATGACGCAGGCCTCTAATCCTTCCTTTTAGGCCTCCATGGCTTAGGGGACAATTAAGCTAAATTAAGCTAATGCTCTGCACACACACAGGCTGTCCCCCTGACTCAGTGGCGGGGGCAGGAGTTGGGGATTCTGAAGCCTGGAGGAGGATTGGCCTGGGCCCAAGCTGAACCCCAAGCCCTGCTCCTCAGGCCCAGGAGTGCTGAGCACAGCTGAGGGAGGAGCACTAATTACTGAGTGTATGCTGAATAGGTTCCAATAAAAGCTGTTTCTTGACCTCACATAAATATTTTCATTCTGGGAGGGGCTGGTGAGGTAGCCATAGAGTCATGGTCAAAGACCCAGGGCCCACCCCACTATGCACCCCGTCCATCAAGCCTGGGCCAGGCAGGTCAGCCTCCCCCAGGTCTCACCTATATCTCTCTCTTCCCAGGTCTTCAAGCAGCTCAGCGTGGTAAGCTCCGGGGACGTGGGCCCTGGGCCTTATTTGGGTCTGGGTTGGGCCTGGGGTGAGGTCAGGAAAGGAGGGTGCCGTCAGCATGACCCCCTCTCCACAGCCTGTGGGCAGCGCGGCCCTGGCCCCCCCGACCCTCAGGAGGGCAACACAGTACCTGGCGAGTGGCCCTGGCAGGCCAGTGTGAGGAGGCAGGGAGTCCACATCTGCAGCGGCTCCCTGGTGGCAGACACCTGGGTCCTCACTGCTGCCCACTGCTTTGAAAAGTGAGTCATGGTTGGGGACAGGCAGGGTCTCTGGCTTTGGGGGTGGATGATTTGTCTCCAAGCCCCGCAAGACTGGCCCCTGCCCCTAGAATAACAATAAAGTACCATTTATTCTCTGGGAGGCCGAGGCGGGTGGATCATTTGAGCTCAGGAGTTCGAGACCAGCCTGAGCAAGAGCGAGACCCCGCCTCTACCAAAAATAGAAAGAAATTAATTGGACAGCTAAAAATATATAGAAAAAATTAGCCAGGCATGGTGGCGCATGCCTGTAGTCCCAGCTACTCGGGAGGCTGAGGCAGAAGGATCACTTGAGCCCAGGAGTTTGAGGTGGCTGTGAGCTAGGCTGACGCCATGGCACTCTAGTCCAGGCAACAGAGTGAGACTCTGTCTCAAAAAAAAAAAAAAAAAAAAAAAAATACCATTTATTGAGAATCATACTATCAAGTTAATCTTAACAAAAACCTTTCACAGTAGAAGCTTTACAAATGAGAAAACTGAGATCAAGAGGAGAGAAGGACCCATCTTCCCCCTGTGTTATCTCCCACGGTGTCACTGTCTCCCCTTGCACTCAACAGCCTGGGCCTGGTCCTTCCCCTTCCAGGGCGGCAACAACAGAACTGAACTCCTGGTCAGTCGTCCTGGGTTCTGTGCAGCGTGAGGAGCTGGGCCCAGGGGCTGAGGAGGTGGGAGTGACTGCCCTGCAGCTGCCCAGGGCCTATAACCACTACAGCCAGGGCTCAGACCTGGCCCTGCTGCGGCTTGCCCACCCCACAACCCACACACCCCTCTGCCTGCCCCAACCTGCCCATCGCTTCCCCTTTGGAACCTCTTGCTGGGCCACTGGTTGGGATCAGGATACCAGTGACGGTAAGTGCTGTCCCAGACAGAAGCCCAGAGAGGCATTCTGCTTGCCCAAGGTCACACAGTATCAGCTCCCTTGCCTCCCAGAGCCCAGACTCTGGCCCCCGCCCTTCTCTTTTACCAGCTCCCGGGACCCTGCGGAATCTGCGCCTGCGCCTAATCAGCCGCCCCACATGTAACTGTCTCTACAACCGCCTGCACCAACGGCCGCTGGCCAGCCCGGCCCGGCCTGGGATGCTGTGTGGGGGTGCCCAGCCTGGGGTGCAGGGGCCCTGTCAGGTCTGATGGGGAGGAAAGGGGAAGGGAGCAGAAGGGGAGGGGCCCAGCCTTGGGCTGGGGGCTCGACCCACGGCGAGGGGTGGAAGGGCTGCAGTCAGAGGGTCATCTGCACAAGGCTGGGATTCAGGTGTCTGTCTTTGGCTCTGCTGCCCGGCTCCAGGGAGATTCCGGGGGTCCTGTGCTGTGCCGAGAGCCTGATGGACGCTGGGTTCAGGCTGGGATCATCAGCTTTGCGTCAAGCTGTGCCCAGGAGGACACCCCTGTGCTGCTGACTGACATGGCTGCTCACAGCTCCTGGCTGCAGGCTCGAGCTCAGGGGGCAACCTTCCTGGCCCAGAACCCAGAGACCCCGGAGACAAGTGATGAGGACAGCTGTGTAGGTATGAGCAGGGGGTGCTGGGAGTGGGACATGTAGGTGGAAGCCACAGTGAAATAAACATCAGTTGAGAGTAGTGATACAGGGTGTCCACAAGCTGCCAAGGCCTAACGAGGACGCTATTAAGGCCCCTTTCAGCCCCTGAGATGGGAACAGTCCCAATAGGGCTGAGAGACACAGATGCTTTGGAACTTCACAGGTTTCGAGTTTAGGTAAGAGGAATCTCTGAAACCTGACTGAAGGATTTGGGGGAAGCTACAAGCTTCCAGGCAGGGAGCCAGTGAGACTGGACAGGGCAGGGCTCCCAATCAGAATTCTGGCATTAAGTGACTGACATGCAAATCCAATGCAAAGTAAATTCTGGGACGGAAGTTATGTCTTGATGGTAAGAGAAGCATTAATGAGCCAGGAATACTGGAGCCAGTCCCAGCCTGGAGGGTACAGACGGGTGGGGCAAGGGAGTTGTGAGTAGGACCATCCATGAGGCTGGGATGGGGTCCTGCGAGACCATCTGGGTTAAAAGCTCAGGCCCTGGCTTTTGAATCCCAGGTCTGCTCCTTGCCTGTGGTTACAGAGCTAGAAAGTCACTTAATCTCTCTGGAGCTTTCGTTACCTTCAGTAATGAGGGTAAAAAAATTAAGGATATTGGGAGGATAGAATAGAAAATAGGAAGTGTTTACTTAGCACAGGGCCTGGCACACAGTGAACACTTAACAAGAAGTCAGATGATGTAATGCATCTGTTTCAGCCTGTGGGTCCTTGAGGAAAGAAGGACCCCAAGCAGGAGCTCCTTCCCCATGGCCCTGGGATGCCAGGCTGAAGCACCAGGGGAAGCTAGCCTGTGGCGGAGCCCTGGTGTCAGAGGAAGTGGTGCTGACTGCTGCCCACTGCTTCATCGGGTGAGCCCTGTATCCCTCTCCTTTGTGCCCCCTGCCCCTGGTGGCAGCTTTGTCACCCAGTGCTGTCAATGCTGCCTCTACACAGACGCCAGACCCCGGAGGAGTGGAGTGTAGGGCTGGGGACCAGACCAGAGGAGTGGGGCCTGAAGCAACTCATCCTACATGGCGCCTATACCCACCCAGAGGGGGGCTATGATGTGGCCCTCCTGCTACTGGCCCAGCCCGTGGAACTGGGCCCTGATCTGCGGCCCCTCTGCCTGCCCTACGCTGACCACCACCTGCCTGATGGGGAACGCGGCTGGGTCCTAGGGCTGGCCCGCCAAGGAGCAGGTATGTAGGACCAGGGCCACTGGGAGCTCTCCATCCAGCCTAAAGGCTGCTAGGGCAGCCGGATCTTTTCCCTTGCCCTACAGGAATCAGCTCCCCTCAGACAGTGCCCGTGACCCTGCTGGGGCCTAGGGCCTGTAGCCGGCTACACACAGCTCCTGGGGGTGACGGTAGCCCCATTCTACCAGGGATGGTGTGTACCAGTGCAGTGGGTGAGCTGCCCCAATGTGAGGTGAGCTCCAGTCCCCTAAACCTTACCCGACAGACCCCTGGCATCTCCTCACCCTGTAGTTCAAGAAGAGACCTTCTAAGCCAGGTGCGGTGGCTCATGCCTGTAATCCCAGTCACTTGGGGGTGGGGCTGAGGTGGGAAAATCGCTCGAGTTCAGGAGTATGAGACTAGCCTGGGCAATATAGCAAGATCCCATCTCTAGAAATATTTTCTTTTAATTAGTTGGGCATGGAGACACACACCTACAGTCCTAGCTACACGGTAGGATGAGGCAGGGGGATCAGTTCAAAGTTGCAGTGTGCTATAATCATGCCACTGTACTCCAGCCTGGGCAACAGAGCAAGACCCCGTCTCTAAAAAAACAAAAACAAAAAGAGACAAAGACACCTGCCAGGATTGGCCTCCAGCTCTGCCTCTCACTTGAAACTAGGCCTTTTGCTAACTAGCCCCCAAACAGCCAGAGCTTCAGCTCTTAGCCCCTGTGCTGCACCCCACAGCTGCCTAGGAAGAAGTGGAAGTCACCCAGTGTCACCTGACCCTGACAGGGCCTGTCCGGGGCACCACTGGTACATGAGGTGAGGGGCACATGGTTCCTGGCTGGGCTACACAGCTTTGGAGATGCCTGCCAAGGCCCTGCCAAGCCCGCGGTCTTCGCAGCACTCCCGGCCTATGAAGACTGGATCGGCAGTTTGGACTGGCAGGTCTACTTCGCCCAGGAGCCAGAGCCCGAGGCCGAGACTGGAAGCTGCCTGGCTAACATGAGTGTGTGGCCCTGGGGCCTCCCTGCCAAACTTTTCCTCTCCAGACCCCTTCTCTCTCAGTCTAGGGAAAGCACTGTTCTGGCCCACCTCTGGCTGCCCTGGGTGGGGTTCAAATCCTGGTTTTTCTCACTGTGTGACTTGGAGCAGGCTTCTCACTTCTTTGAGCCTCAGCACTCTCCCATCTGTCATGGGGGCCAAGACATATCCTATTCCTTCGAGGGAGGGAGCAAAGTTGAGGATGAAACCAACCCCACTTCTTCTTCCTCTTTCCCTGACAGGCCAACCAGCCAGCTACTGACCGACAACTCTGGGCTGTTCGCAGGACACGAGAACACAGCCAGGCAGTTCCTGCCTCACCGCCCCTGTGCCTTCCCATCCCTGACCCATGTGTGGCTCCAGGCACAGGGGCAGGCCCCAAAGCCCAGGTGGCTGTGGGAAGAAACCTGCCCAGGACCAGATGCCCCCATTCCCCACCCTGCAGGACAGGGATGCCACCTGTGACGCTCCCACACCAGCCTGCTGTTCGATGCAGGCATCCCCAGCTTTCCCTACCCTTCCTCCTCTCAGATACAATCACACCAGGCACATGTTTTGAAAATTTCTTTTTTTGGGGGGAGCAATTTCCTTTTTTTTAAAACTTAAATAAATTGTTACAAAATAGACTTTAAAAAATAAGTTACAAATTGTAGCAAAAGTCTCCCCTTCCACAGGCAACATTCCCACCCATGGCGCTCTGAATCTGCCTCTCCCTGGTGTTGGAATCTGGCTGGTAAGGGTGGCCCAGCATCTTGGCAGAGGCTGGCACCAGGAAGAGCATGGTGACAAAGGCTGGGGGAAGAAGGTCCTTCAAGGACAGGGACATAAGGAATGCCCCACCCCCTTTGTGGGAAAGAAGCCAGAGTTGGGTCCTCTTCACACAAGGAGAGGAAAGAAGAGATGGGGATGCCCAAACTACTCCTGAGCAAAACATGGAGATCAAGCCCCCCCCTAACTGTACCCCCTCCCTAATATTCTGATCTTTGGAGACTTGAAGTTCAGAGGGAGAAGCTGAGGTCTGCAGGCCACTGGGGTGAAGGGTCCAGGAGAGGGGTCGTGGGGGTGGGTGGATGGGGCAAGGACAAGTTCCCTTTGCCCGCCGCTGGTGCCATTGGGGCTCCTGGGGAGAGAGAGAGGAGGTCACTGACTGAGGGGGCAGACCCCGCACAGCTTGTAACCCCCCCACCAGCCCTGTGGGCCACTCCCCCCTGCCCATGCATGGCCCCGGAGGCCTGTATGAGAACCCAGGAACCCTAGGACTCCCAATTATTTCCCCAGCTGTGGCTACCTGACTCCTCACTCATTTCCCTTGAGGTCACAAGAAACCTTTTATCCTGAAAGCCATCCCTTCAGCTCTCAGGGGACTCTCACCCACCATCCCCTCCTTCCCTGACAAGTGCTGGTCAAGAGCCCACCGTCTCAGGTACACCCACCACTGGTGGCTGCTAGATGGAATGGGTCCTTCTCTCTACAGCAAGTGGAGACAGAGCAGGCCCAGGGCTTTCTGAGGGAACAGGCTGCCCCACTCCTCCACAGCCTCATCCTGCAACAGGGCAGGGTGGAGGCCATTCTACATGAGATCCCTCTGATAGAGGATGTGAGACAGGGGCTAATGACTGTTGTTGCTACAGCTGGGCCTGGGCTTCAAAGAAACAATTATCTGTGACTCAGTCCTCCAGGTAAAGGTGCACAGTGGGGGTGAAGGTGGAAAGGGTGGTTTAGTGGGATCCTTAAAAAAAAAAACATGCAGCAGAGGAAGGAGAAGAAAGGGATTGAATAAAGAGAAGAGACGTGGGCAATACTGATAGGAAAGGAACAGAGGTCTAGTTTTCAAGAAAAGAGGAGGAGGGACAGGGAGTTGGGTGCCAACCAGTGACCCAGTTTCTGTGGCCAAGTCAGCAGTGAAGCCATAAAGCCCATGCCCCATTCCTCATTCCCTGGCTCCCTGCCTCCTCTAGGAAAGAAGAGAACCTAGACCAAATCAAAGGCTCCATCTTTTTCTGGAAATCATTACTGGCTGAAGCAGGAGGGTTTCCAGATGTGGTAGCCAGATGGTACCCAGCTACCTGCCCCCCAAACAGAAAGACCATTCCTCTTTGGCTACAGCAAATCTGAGGAGCCCAAGCAGCTGCCCCTCCTGCTGACCACCCCGGACCCCGGCACTGCCCCAACCCACCATGCCATCTGACCTGAGGTGCAGACCTTGGCTGCTGCAAAGGCGGCATCCTCACACTAGTTTTGTCACTCCATATCCAAGCCCCCAGCCGCCTCGAGATCCTCATGACTCTCTCCTCTCATTCCGTGTTCCCCCACCCACCTTGGGGCCTGATTTCATCCTCCACTGTGTGCCCACCTCCTTTTAGGACCCTTCCATCCTTTGCCAGAGCCCGCTCATGCCCCCGTACCAGAGCTGGCCACTGTCCATTCTTCCTGGTGCTGCTGCTGGTGCTGCAGGAAGCTGATTCGGCGGCGGAAGTGGCGGGGACAATGGGGGCAGGTGAAAGGCCCCTCCCGGGGTGCATGGACCCGCCCATGGCCTTCCAGCCGGGCGGCTGTCCGGAAGGCCTTGCCGCAGATACTGCAGCGGTGGCGCTTGGGGTCTGTATGGGTCCTGCCATGGTTCTTAAGAGAAAGCAGGTTGGGTAGAAGTTTGGGGCACAGGGAGCAGGGATACAGTCCTGTGGTGTGGGCCTTCTGGTGGTTCAGCAGGCTGCCAGCATGGCGGTAGGAACGCCCGCACTGGGCGCAGCGGAAAGGCCGCTCCTTGTCTTCAGCCACTGTGGACTTTGCTCCTTGCCCTTCACTAGCTCTCTCAGCATTCTCTCCTGAGGGTCTGGGGGCTTCTGATGGGGCCTCTTGGGCTTTCCCTTGACCAGTGAGACTCACCTTGTCCGCCACAGTCCCAGCTTTGGGACCTCTGGCCTCCTCTGTCTGCGCTGGCACCTGACTATGGCCCCCAGCATGAGTCTGCAGGTGGCTGGCCAGTTCATGGTGGGACTGAAAGGCTTTGCCACAGTCAGGGCAGGCAAAGGTCTGGGCATCTATGTGGTTTTGGCTGCGGCTCTTAGTGGCCACAGGATTCAAGAACTCCTTGGAGCAGAGAAGGCAATAGTGTCGGTCTGTCTTGTGGGTATTTTGGTGGTTCAAGGGGCTAGCCGACTGGCAACAGGTATTGCCACACTGGCTGCAGGAAGAGGGGTGGCTCTCTGGCTGAAGCTGAGAGCTGTTGTCTTCATTTTCCCAGCTATCCACGTGACTCAGACTAGGTCCATTGGACTGGCTGTCACCAAGGTGGCAAGGACTCCTGGGGACACTATCCTCTGACTCACCTGGCTTGGTCAGTACCTGACCCTGAGAAACCCAACCTCCTTCATGATTCACCAGTCCCCTGTCTCTTTGCCACCCATCTGCCTTCCTCATTCCCCAGGACAGTGGCTCTGTGGCTTCTGAATCTACTGCCCTGACAGGGCTCTGACTGTGCTCCCCTGGCCTCACAGCTCTGTCCTCCAGCTGGGGTACTGACTCAACTCCACCTGATCGGCCCCCTAGAACCTGGTCATTGGCCAGGTTCCCCTCATTGCTCTCTGTGCCATTTGCACCTCCCAGACCACTGGCCAGCTCCCGTTCTGTCTTCTCCTCATGCTCTCGCAGGTGCCGCTCCAAAGATCCCCGGCTAGGGAAGCTGTGGCCACAGAGGGCACAGCGCACAGCTGACCGCCGGCACCGTCCAGCCCGCCGCCGCCGACTCTCTGAGTGTAGCCTTTGATGGTCTTTCAGTGCCATGCGGTTGGAGTAGGTCTTCGGGCAGGTGGGGCAGCTGTACTGGCCTGTCTCATGGCTGCGCCGGTGGTTCAGGAGGCTGCCGGCGTGGCGGTAGGTCCGTCCACACTGCCCACACCGGAAAGGCCGATCTTCCCGAGTCAGCTTTCGGGTACCCCCACGCCGCTCAACGTGCACCCGCTGGTGGCTGGCCAGCTGTTTCCGAAGACGGAAGGCCTTCCCACACTCATTGCAGCGGAAACGGCGGGGATCTGCGTGAATGCGCCGGTGGTTTTTGAGGGACATGAGGTTTGAGAAGCCCTTGGAGCAGGCCTGGCAGCCAAAGTGGCCAATCTGGTGGCTCTGCCGGTGGTTGATGAGGCTGCCGGCATGCTTGTAGGACCGGCCACACACCTCGCAGCTGAAGGGTCGCTCACAGCTGGCCTCAGTCTGGCAGCCCTTCTCTGCTGTTTCCAGCCTCGCTTCTGTCTCCTCCCCCTTCACGGTGGTCTCCTCCCATGCCTCTTCTTTTACTCTTGCCACCTCCTCCAGGGGCTCCACTTTAAGTTCTTCCTGCAGCTTGTCTACTTCCGCCAGCCCTGGCCCCTCCTCTGCCATGTTCTGGGGCTCGCTGATGCCTCCTGCCTCTGCGATGGGCCCCAGCTGGGGCTCTGAGCCTTTGCAGCGAGGGTGGTTCCGTAGATGATTACGGTAGGCAGCCAGGTTGGGGTAGCAGCGGGAGCAGACGGGGCAGATGAATTCTCCAGTCTGGTGGATCTTACGGTGGTTCACCAGGCTGCCCCCATGGCGGTAAGTCTTGCCACACTGGTTGCAGCGGAAGGGGCGGGGCTGAGCCTCCAGCAAACTTTCACCACCCTGTTCACAGAGGCTGTCGACCACTGTGGCACCTACTCCCTCTTCAGACTTTGTGTCTCCATCCTCTCCAGAGACAGAGGTCACTGTGCCCTCCAAGACACCATCTGCAACCATCTCTGTGGCATCGCCTGATGCTTCCAAGGGGCTGGGAGCCTTGTCTGTGCTAGTCCCAGAACTTTGACTCTGGTGGTGACGCTCCAGGCTCCCTAGGTCATCGTAGGTCTGACCACAGCAGCCACAGATATGCCCATAACCTGCTCCATCCAGCGCCTCCACCTCCCGCTGCAGCTGATTCAGCAGCTCTGCTTCTGAGAGCTGCAGGGGTGGGCTCTCGGTAGAGGTTGCCTCTACTGCTCCTTCCTCTTCCCCCTCCTCCTCTGAGCCCTCAGTCATGCCAGAGGAGTTGTGAGCCTGACGCCGGTGAAGCCTATAGCCTGCCCGCCCAGGGAAGATCATGCCGCAGAGGCAGCAGAGGAAAGGCTGTGCCGAGGCTGCCTCCCCAGGCCCATGGTTCTGGAAGTGGCTGCGTAGGGCAGGCAGAGAGTCAAACTCCTTTGGGCAGAGGGAGCACTGATAGATGCCTGGTGGGTGGCAGGGCCTGTGGCTCAGCAGGCCAGTGGCATGGGGGAAAGAATGCCCACAGTCAGAACATGTGTGAGCATCCTCAGCCTGCCAGCCAGCAACAGCTTCAGTGGAGTGGGAAGAGGGATGGGGCTGGCCAGTGAGTGGTTTCTGGTCTTTGTCCACCCCAGTGAGGCCATCGCAGAAGCGATTCTCGTTGCTTCCTTCATCACCTGGAATATCCAAGTTGTCAAGGAAACAGGCCTCTTTTCTTTCCAGTCCTTCCTCAGTGCCTCTGTTCTTATCACCCTGGAAACAGGACTCATCACTCTCAAGCCCACACTTGTCCCCTTTAGATTCAGCCTGCAAACAGTCCCTACCACTTTCCCCTTTGGCCCCACAAGGTCTTTCCCCTGAAGGGTTGTGGGGAGAGTCCAGACTCTCATTGTCTTCCAACTCCTGGGCCCAGTTCTTCCCTGACAGGAGTTTGCCTTCTCCCCCAGCACCAGCACTTCCGGCCCGCTTCCAATGCCGCTTGCTCCGCCGCCAACTATGGCGTCGCAAATGGTTCTTCATGGCAGCCATGGTGTGGAAGTGCTTGGCACAGGCCCCACAACTGAAGTCCCCTGTCTGGTGGGTCTGCCTGTGGTTGATAAGGCTACCAGAGTGGCGATAGCTCTTTCCACAGTCTCGGCAGGCAAATGCCCGAGAAGGTGACACCTTGGTATCTGTCTTGCTATTTTCCCCTTCCCTGTGGGTCAGGCCATGATGTTCAAGGCTCTCGGCGTCTTCAAATAACATCCCACAGATGCTACATATCTGTGGTGTTCTCCTATCTGCTACTGGGGGGATATCAGTGGTCTCTTTTTCACGTTTGCACACATGCTCCTGATCTGTGTGGGGGGCTGCCTCTGCTCCCACTGGGTCAGATGGGAGTTCCACCCTGAGGTGGCTGGGAGGACCCTCAGTTCCTGGGTCTGCACTTCGGCGAGCAGCCTTGCAATGTACCCGCACATGGTTGCGCAGAGCCATAAGGTTGGGGTACTTGCGGGGACAGAGTGAGCACTGGTACTCTCCTGTCCGATGGCTGTGGCGATGGTTCACCAGGCTCCCTCGGTGGCGGTAAGCCCGACCACACTCATTGCACTTATAGGGCCGATGGTCCAGCATGGTGGTGGGGACCTCTTTCTCTTTGTGGGCAGTGTCAGCCAACAGCAGGGAAGCTGGCGACACTGATGGCTGACCATCGTCCCCAACTCCTTGCCGGGGTCTGTGGTGAGCCCGCACATGGTTTTTGAGGGCAGCTGCGTTGAACAGCTGCTTAGAACAGATTAAACAGGGATAGACACCTGTCTGGTGGCTCTTTCGATGGTTGATGAGACTCCCCGCATGGCGGTAAGTACGCCCACAGTCCCCACAGCGGAAAGGCCTGTATTCTTCCAGGCCACTGTCCTCGAGCTCCCCAGAAGTGCTGAGTTCCCCGGAGCCATTCAGCAACTGTGTACTATGGTGCTGGTCTGGGCTGCTCTCTTCTATGTGCCCATTGGTGGTGGGAATCCCTTTCCCTTCCCACAGTGGCTCCTGCTTTTCACCCTCATGGGACTGCTGGTGTTCCAGCAATTCCCGGGGGAGCCGGAAAGCACGAGGGCAGTGGGGACAGTGGTAAGGCCGATACTGGGCATGGAGTCGTGAGTGGTTCTTCAGAGCCATGAGGTTAGAGAACTCCTTGAAGCAGATGGCACAAGGGTAGACACCCAGGGTGTGGCTCTGGCGATGGTTGGTGAGGCTCCCAGCATGCTTGTAGGTCTTGCCACACTGACTGCACTTGTACCGCCGCTCCTCCTCAGCAGGAGGGGACTCAGTGGGCTCTTGGCCCCCTGTGAAGTTCACTACTGATTCAGCCAAATACTGTTCCAAATTGCTAAGAAGGCTGCTGGCTGGGGTGGGGAGAGGTGGGACCCTGGCAGAGTTGGTGGCAGGCCCCCAGCCCTCTGCACCCTCCCCAGGATCTGGCTGACTTTCCCAGCCTTCTCTTTGTCCAGTGGGTAGATCTTCCCAAGTACTCGAATCTGCCTTGGGGTCAGGTCCAGACTCACAGTCAGGTGTCTCTTCGGTATGTTTTGTCTGGTTTTCCCAGCCTTCCCCAGGGCCAAGCCTCTGGCCCCAGGAGTCAGTAGGCACCGTCTCACCCTGGAGGCATGGAGTGGCTTCTTTGTGACGTGGGGGTCTGCGCCTGCGGCGGCCCTCAGGAGCATGAGTCCTCATGTGGCTCTTGAGAGCCATGGGATTGGTGAAGTCCTTGCCACAAGTGGTACAGGGGAAAAGGCCAGTCTCGTGGGTCCGGCGGTGGTTGACTAGGCTCCCTGGGTGACGGTAGCCCCGCCCACACTGTTGACAGCGGTAGGGCCTAGGAACGCTGTCAGCCTCCTCACTGTCCTGGTTGGAAGATGGATGGAGCAGTTCTCGGTGCCTTGACAGTTCCGGGAGGCTAGGAAAGTGGCGCTGACAGTCGGAGCAGCTGAGTGAGAGGGGTGTGTCCTCCATGGGGCAACGTGGCAGAAACCTGAAAGTTCAGGAGGAGTAGACAGGTGGCAGCAGCATCTTCCGGTGAAGGGGCCAAGGCCTAGGAAGAGGGGGCAGAGGTCAAAAAGAAGACCTGAATTAACCTTGTCTCTTGGCTCTATGAGCAACAAGTTCATCTGAGGCCACTGAGAGGTTCCCCAAGCATCAATGTCCAGGGACCTGCTTTCTACTACATCTAACCTGGAGGCACCATCATTTAAGGCCGCCCTGTGCATAAGCTCCCCAAAATGGGACATACTTAGGCTTAAGCCATCCCTAGAAGTACAGATAAGGAAACTAAGGGATGAAACCTACTTCTTTTTATTTTTTAAAAATTTTTAATGTCCATCCTAGTTTGTCCTAAAAAACCTACTTCTCATCAGAGATCATGTATTATTATGTTCCTCAGACCAGATCCAAAAAATAATTACTGTCCCTAACCCTGTGCTCTCTATAATTCTGAAACAAACAAAATTTCCTGTGACATCTTAAAAGGAAACCAGAACCTTTTTTAGACCTTTCAACAAGAGAAGTCCAATCCTTCCTCCTTCACCCTTCAGCTAAATAGAGTAGCCTAGAAGCACTTTAAAAGCAGATACTTCTCCAGTTGACAACTGAGGACCTGAGAGGAGAGGTTAGAGGTCCCTTTCAGGGAAAGGGCTAGCTTGTTCCCCTGCCTCCCCTAGTCTTTTCAGCATCGCAAGGTCTCCTTTCCAAAAGACTCTCTTGGCCACTTCCTTTACCTACTTCCCCCAAACCCAAACTATCTTTCATCTTGGAAATCCCATCCCATTTCAAGTTGGACTTTCACTTCATTGCCTACCTTTTTCTCTCCCATGGCTTCTTACCTTACCCTCATCATCCTCTCTCATTTTTTCTTCTAGCCCCTCTCTTAATACTGATGATGATGACAGGAACTCATGCTGAGTATTACCATGTGCCAGGCACTGTGCTAAGTAAAATACATTCTTTGTGTCGCTTAATCCTCACGATACACTGCAATGCCTGTTATCGCAGTTTACACATAGCAAACCCACGGAGGCAGTCTTCATTCCAAAGCCCTTGCTCTCTCAATAGCAGCCCCTCGTGCCACCTCCATCACCTTGTCCTTATCCAACTCTTGACTCTTCATTCCCATGGGACCCCAACACAATTGCTATCCCCGACTCTAAATCCCCTCACTGAACCTGCCCCTCCGAACTCTCACCTCACAGAGTCCCCGTCCATAATCAACCACCAGTGAAGTCCTCTGACCTCACTTATCTCCTCCGCCAATTTCCTCTGAGGACCCTACCTCTCACCGGCTGCCCCTTCTGTTCCCGCCGCGGGCGCGTCCGTTGGGGACCCTGAACGGGAGCGCGCCTGCGCACTGGGACGCTTACCCTAACTGCAGCCGCGCGCCCCAAGGGGTGGCTGTGGGGGGCTCTCGCGCTCCCACACAGGCACACTCAGCCAGGGTTCCCGGGAGGCGGGAGGCGAGGAAAAGACGGAAAGGAGAAGGGGGAGGAGAAAAGAGGTAGAGGAGAGAGGGCGCAGCTGGCACGAGCCAGGAGTCTACCCCCAGCTCCGCGGACACTACACTTCCTATTGTTACTAGGAAACAGGAAGTGTCCTAGGTGCAAAAGCTTCCCCGCGAAACTTCCGCCTTGGGAACACTTCCTGTCCCGCCTTCAAGCAGCCTCTCCACACAGACACACTTCCGGCGCTGGGTTCTAGCTCGGCCTGACTCTGGCTCCGCCCACGTAGGTCACAGAGGTGAGCTTTTACGCACTATCTTAGCCACACTTCCGGCAGGGGCTGCTAAAATCATTTCGGTGCACATTGAATAAGCGCAGAAGGAAGAAAGTATTCTGCAGCCCTGGCCACAGTACTTTGCTGACACTTTCCGGGGGACTCCCTGACTCTTCCCAAGACAGATGGGGGAAGCTTCATTAAATCCACTCCTCGCTATTAAATGAAATGGTGTGGAATATAAGCGGATTTAGGTACTACGAAGCTTGAGCATGGACTTGCTGTCCTCCCACCTTATAGTTCTTGGAAACACTTCCGGTGGCCTGTCCCAGGCTAGGAATAGCCCGGTGTATACCATCAACCTGCCTGGCGTCTCCTTGCCTTAGCACCCCAGAGACCTCTTGCAAGCTATCTCTCCGCCACCATAGGCTGGAGGTTCCCACGTAAATTTTTCCTTCCTCCCTAGCCGGGAAAGCTCCTTTCACTTCCGCTCGCCCGCCCGCCAGCCCCGCCTCCCCTCCCCCCCGCTGGGTCCTAGCGCCGGCCCTTCTCTAGCAGTGTCCCGGGCTCCGTCCGAGGGAGAAGCTGCCGCTGACACCACGGAGCCAGCCTAAGTCCTCTCAGGTAGGAAACGCCTGCAGGAAGCCGCGGGGGCCCCGGATGGCCCCCGCGCGGACACGAGCCAAGCTAGCCTCAGTTTCCCTGTGGGCGCCTAGGGCAGACTGGGTTGGCCCGGCGCGAGCAGCGCGGGCGGGGCAGGTGGTGAGCGGCCCCGGGCGGGCTCCGGGCCCAGCAGGTCCTAGAACCCGCCGGTTGTCTCCGATGGCCGGCTGCTGCAGACGCCTAGGCTTGGCCAGCGCGGCTGCCGACCTTGCGCGGTGCGGGCCCTGGGGTCCTAGAGCCCGCCATGTTGCGAGCTTTTGTCCCAGCTGCGCGGCCTGCCTAGCAAGGTCCCTGGCGCCTGTGGCCCCCCTCCCCGGCCGATGCCCTGGCCACCCCTCCCGCGGTCCTAAAGAACGCCATCTTACAAGTCTTTGTCCCGCATTCGGCCCTCCGTCCATTCATTTGTTCATCCTCTCATTCTTCCTTCATTCCTTCTTGCCAGGTTCTCCGAGGCTACGTTTTCCGAGGGCTTATAACCAGACTAGTTAGCCCAGCGTCCTGCCCTGTAGGGGCTGCCTGCCTAACGGGGGTGCCGACATATAGACGGTTGCAGAGATAGAGGAGCAGTTGCAGGGAGCGAGGAGCGCAGGATTTGTGCAGCCGGCCCCTCATCATTGCCTCAAGTAGGCCCTAACGCCCTTCAAACTCCCACAGGCTTCAGGGGCCCCATTTTACTGATGAGGAAACCGAGGCCCCCCAGCGCCTTAGGGCCCTTATCTCTGCTGCTCATTAAGTACTCCTGAGGGCACTGGGGAAAGAGGGTATTTGAGGGATGTAAAAGAGTTTTCCCATGGGATAAAGCAATCAAGGGCTCCTAAGGAAGAGGGAATTGAATTGCATATGGGGGTGGGAAGTAGCTGGAGCCTAGATCGCTGTTGGGAGGGAGACACTGCTGCTCTAGCTGAGTCTGGAAAGTAGGTTGGGATCAGGTTGTGAACTGACCAGGTTGGAAGCCTAGGAGGTAATTAGCACTCACCTCTGCACGGTTCTGTCAACCACCAGATCTCTCATGGCCTATGAGGCTTGTGTGGTGACTACTTGTTTAAAGATGGGGAGACTGAGATGACTCCTTTTTCACCTTGTCCCTGCCCCAGGGTCCTAGCCTAAGCCTTTTGGGAATTGAATCTCTGCATCCCTGGTGAGACAGCAGAATTTTATCCCCCTCTTAAACCAGTAGTGAAGCAAAGACAGAGTTCCATCACCACAGGAGCGAGCCCACTATGGGACATTGGAGTAACAGCTGGACCTTGTGAACTTGGAAAGGCAGAAAATTTCAGTTAATCAATAGTTATTGGCCAGGCGTGGTGGCTCACGCCTGTAATCCTAGCACTCTGGGAGGCCGAGGCGGGTGGATTGTTTGAGCTCAGGAGTTCAAGACCAGCCTGAGCAAGAGCGAGACCCCGTCTCTACCAAAAATAGAAAGAAATTAATTGGACAGCTAAAAATATATAGAAAAAATTAGCCAAGCATGGTGGCGCATGCCTGTAGTCCCAGCTCCTTGGGAGGCTGAGGCAGTAGGATTGCTTGAGCCCAGGAGTCTGAGGTTGCTGTGAGCTAGGCTGACGCCACGGCACTCACTCTAGCCCGGGCAACAAAGTGAGACTCTGTCTCAAAAAAAAAAAAAAAAAAAGAAAACCCTCTTTGAGGAGGTGACAGGGATCTGAGACACAATGAAATCCAAGAGACAGCTACACAAAGATCCTAGGAGAATAGTTCCGCCAGAGGGAACCGCTAGTGCAAAGGTCCTGAAGTGGGAAGGAATTTGGCTGTTCGAGGAGAAGAAAGAGGGCCAGTACGGGTGGAGACTAGTGAGCCACAGGGTAGGAGTGGGAAGTGAGGTAGGCAGGAGTTCAATGGTTCAGGGCCTTGCTGGTCATGGAAAAGATACTGGTCTTTCTCCTGGGAGCAGTGGGAAGTCTAATGATTTGGCTGATAAACCATGAGTCAATGAAGGCTGGTAGAGAAACGGTTTAGCCCAGGAGCCTGAAGACTTGGGTTTGAGTCCTGTGTGTCCTTGTACAAGTTTTTTCCCTTGTGGGCCTTAATCTCAGCAACTGAAAAAGAGGTATAGTAAAGATTAAAAATGCCTCTCTCCTAGGAGCTTGTGAAGACCTACGGATGTGTGTTTGGTTCCTAAGTGTTGGTTGGAATGATCCAGAGAGTGTGTTTAAAGTCCAGATTCCTGAGTCCTACCTAAAGCTCCCTGAATGATTATTCTGATGCAGGGGGTTCACAGACCTGACTTGCAGAAACATCACTTTAAGGAGTGGTGGGTGGAAGAGGCCTCATAAACGGTGAAGTGAGGAGTTAATGGTGGGGTTTTTGACAGAGGCCTAGCCTACCTGGCCCCCTGTTCACACAGCTGGGCATCTCCTGGGACCAACCTGGCACTCCTTTACCTTTTCCCTTGGGAAGTGCCTTAGGAGGAGGGATTTAACCCTCCAGCTACCTGGCATCTGGTTCACAGGTAGGAAGACTGAGGCCCAGAGCTGGGAAGGGGCAGTATAGAGGCCAGAGCTCAGAACTGATGGGCCAAGCACTCTGAGAGGGAAACAGAGACACAAAGGGTGCCGGCTGTGGTCTCAAGGCAGTTCTGCAGGGATGAGAGAAGATACAGATACAACCTGAGCTCAGGGTTCTTGTCGCTGTGGGATAGCAGACAAGTCTGAGAGGCCTCAGACCACTGAACAAGGGCCCAACAACTTAAGGCAAGTTAAACATCTAGATTTAAGTCCCAGCTGCATGACTGGGTCACTGTGTGACCAGGGGCAAGTCACTTGGCTCTTGGAACCTCAATTTATTCATCTGTAAAATGGGGACATAATCCCTATCTCAGGAAGATACAAGAGAATTAAATAAGGTAGCACACTCAGCAAATTATCTGGCTCTGAGAAGACTCTTAATAATTAAGGGCAGTAATTAAATTATTCTTGTCTCATTTAATCCTCATCCAACCCTGTGAGGTAAGTACTATTATTACTTCCATTTTTTAGATGATAAAACTGAGGTTCTAAGACATATAGTAAATTGCACATGGTCACATCAGCTGGGAAGTGATGGAGGCAAGATTCAAAGCCAGGCAGTTTGACTTCAGAGGCTGTGCACTTGACCACAATGCTATACCATTGTTCTGGACCTCAGTCCCCTTATCTGTGAAAAGGGAATAACAGAGCTTTTCTCATGGTGTTGCCATGAAGGTAAGTGAGTTAATACATGTAAAGAGTTTAGGGTACTTGATTTGGCAAGTGCTCTTTAAATGTGAACTACCGTTTTTATTAAGGTGAAACTTCATTAGGCAAACTCTCCAGAGATGGTATGAAAGGGAGCTGGTGAATGCCTCATCCAGAGGTAGGGAGGGAGGCCCTTGAAACTGTAGGAGGAATTCAACTCATCGGGAAGGTTAGAACTCTAGCCCTTTAACTCACCTTCAAGCCCCAGGATTTAGAGGGAAAAGTGAAATAAGCAAGCTGAGGGTAGAATGGAATTGTGTGGCATTGGGGCCAAAACCCAAAGGGGAGATGCAGAAAGAGCTTCCTGGGGGAAGTAGGGCTTAAACGAAGGATTGGTAGGATTTGGAACAACCAGGAACGACCTGGGAACTTGCATGGTGTGATAGAAGCCATGGAAATTTCTTGAGCAGGGGAGAGGAAACATCACATAGTTCTTTAGAGCAGCAGTCCCCAACCTTTTTGGCACCAGGGACCAGTTTCATGAAAGAAAATTTTTCCACGGATGCAGGTGGGCAGAGGGGCTGGGGGGAGGGGAGGAGGATGGTGTCAGGATGATTCAAGTGCATGACATTTATTGTGCAGTCAAACTGCTCTGCTAATGAGAATCTGTATTTGCAGCCACTCCCCAGCGCTATCATCACCGCCTCAGCTCCACCTCAGATCATCAGGCATCAGATTCTCATAAGGAGCACACAGCCTAGATCCCTTACATGTGCAATTCATGCATTTTAGGGTAGGGTTCCCACTCCTACGAGAATCTAATCCCCCCGTCTGACGGGAGGCAGAGCTTGTGCAGTGATGCCAGCGATGGGGAGCGGCTGTAAATACAGACAAAGCTTCACTGGCTTGCCATCACTCACCTCCTGCTATGTGGCCCAGTTCCTAACAAGACTGGTACTGGTCTGCGGCCAGGGGTTGGGGACTGCAGCTTTAGAGAGAAGACTCTGTCTGCATGGGGGAGTGAGGGGGACAGTGTGTAGGACTGAGGCAGCAGAAGGGTGCTGACTGTAAGGATATAGTCCTTTCCACTCATCCCAGGGGCTCTTGTGTCCTCCCTGGGTTAACCAGGTAAGCTGCTTCTACAGCTTTCCTGGAGTAAGGGGCCTTGAGCCTCTATCTGTATTTCCCCCAGCACCCTCCTGGCTCAGCTCAGCTCCATCTTCCTCCTTAACCCCAATGTCATAACTTAGAAGCCACCAACCCCTGAGGTGTGCAGATGAGGAAACAGGCCTATGAACATGTGCTGATTTCACTGAGGTTTCCTAGTAAGTTATCCACAGGGCTGGAAGTAGAACCTAGGCCTCCTAGCCTCTGTGCACACCTGGCTCCCCCAACTCCCCTAGCAGCAGCTGCCCCACACTCCTTAAGTGGATCTGCCATAATCCTCTTCCCTTCATCCCCCAGGGAGGATGAGCTGGTGTTAAGACTAATGCAGCCATTAATCCTATTTGCTCCCAGCCATGATCCCTAGAAACAGATGGGTAGAGGATGTCTGGGTTCTGGATCAGAAAGTAGGGACCTCAGCTACAGCTGGTATCCCAGGCCACGTTAGAGCAGATACATCAATTATGACTCAGAAAGAGGCTCTGGCTGCTAGCAGTGGCTCAGGCTGCCTCGACAGAGAGTGAGCTCCCCATTACCAGAGTTATGGGAATAGGAGCCCAACAGGGATTCCAGAACACAGGGTGGACCAGGATTCCTGTCTGGGGTGGAGTGCCTTACAGCTGTGTAAGGCCAGGATTCTGTGTGAACAGTTGCTGTCTCTGAGAGCTAACCAACCAGAGAGGAAAAACAAAACATACATGCTGGGGACCTATCACTTCCAGACAGTGCCAACTGCTACATTTAGCCCATTGGCTCCACCCTCTTCTGGTCCCAAGTCTGTCTTCCCTGGGCACTTGGAGACTTTTTCAGGCCTGGCCCACATCTGGGTACCCTCTACATCTGCAGACCCTTCGTCCTGGCACAGTCCTTGGACACTGAGCTGAAGAAGGAAGATGGTGAGACAGATGGAATCTGGGCCTTCTGTGAATGCCAGAGAGTTTGGAAAAGTTCAGAGGTTGAGGGGGTAAGTGTAGGTGGACCCTTTGTGACCCTAGCCTCTTCTCTTAGTGCCTCCGAGGTCACCTGGTCCAACTCTTTTTGTCAATGAGCAGATCAGAGAGGAAACATGAATGCAGGTGTCAGCCCGGAATGCTTGGCAGGAAGGATGTGGGGGTTCTGCGGTTCAGGCTGAGCAGCGCTAAGTAGAAAATGCAGATATCATACCTTCTGACGCCTTAAGAGAGTTTTGGTGAGGAGAGAGGGAGGCCTTGAAGAATTGCAAAGGGATATGGCTTTGGTCTAACTTTGCTTCTCTTGCAGAGAAGCCCCGCCCACCAAGGCGATGGAGGTGGAGGCTGCCGAGGCCCGGTCCCCAGCCCCCGGCTACAAGCGCTCCGGCCGCCGCTATAAGTGCCTGTCGTGTACCAAGACATTTCCAAATGCGCCCAGGGCAGCGCGCCATGCTGCCACACACGGGCCTGCAGACTGCACAGAGGAGGTGGCTGAGGTGAAGCCAAAGCCGGAGACAGAACCCAAGGCAGAGGAAGCCAGTGGGGAGAAGGTGTCAGGTTCAGCGGCTAAGCCTCGGCCCTATGCGTGCCCGCTGTGCCCCAAGGCCTACAAGACGGCACCTGAGCTGCGCAGCCATGGGCGTAGCCACACGGGTGAAAAGCCCTTCCCATGTCCCGAGTGTGGCCGCCATTTCATGCAACCGGTGTGCCTGCGCGTGCACTTGGCCTCACACGCTGGTGAGCTGCCCTTTCGCTGCTCACACTGCCCCAAGGCCTATGGCGCGCTCTCTAAGCTCAAGATCCACCAGCGTGGTCACACAGGCGAGCGGCCCTACGCCTGCGCCGACTGCGGCAAGAGCTTCGCTGACCCCTCGGTGTTCCGCAAGCACCGGCGCACACATGCAGGCCTGCGGCCTTACAGCTGCGAGCGCTGCGGCAAGGCCTACGCTGAGCTCAAGGACCTGCGCAACCACGAGCGGTGAGGGCACCTTCCTGGGGCGGGGGCAACGGCGACTGCTGTGACCAACGGGGCATGGGGTTGAGTCTCAGAGTGGCATGAGCCCATGGGAAGGTGGTGGGGCTGATGGGGCGGAGGGCTGGGCGTGCAGTTGCAGTTGGGGCCCCTGGTTGGATGGGGGCGGGGCAGGCCGGCTTGGGGTGGAGCTCTGAGGACCGGGTGGGGTTAGATTGGCCTAGGTTCCTGGCTTTGAGGTTGAATAGCGGGTCCTTGGTGAAGCCCAGGAGATGTTCCCAGCCTGAAGGTTTCTTACTCTGTGGTGCAGCCCTGTGGCTGTTAAGGGATTGGGCCTAGGCCCCAGGGATGTTCAGGGGGCCCCTAAATTACATCCCAGGCAGGCAACGAGGGGCAGGTTATGGGTCTGTCACCTTCATGCCCGGTTCAACACGCTCCCACAGGTCCCACACAGGTGAGCGGCCCTTCCTCTGCTCCGAGTGTGGGAAGAGCTTCTCCCGCTCGTCCTCACTCACGTGCCACCAGCGTATCCACGCGGCGCAGAAACCCTATCGTTGCCCGGCCTGTGGCAAGGGCTTCACGCAGCTCAGCTCCTACCAGAGCCACGAGCGCACTCACTCTGGCGAGAAGCCCTTCCTGTGCCCGCGGTGTGGCCGCATGTTCTCCGACCCGTCGAGCTTCCGGCGCCATCAGCGGGCTCACGAGGGCGTGAAGCCCTACCGCTGCGAGAAGTGCGGCAAGGACTTCCGGCAGCCGGCAGACCTGGCCATGCACCGGCGGGTGCACACGGGCGACCGACCGTTCAAGTGCCTGCAGTGTGACAAGACGTTTGTGGCGTCCTGGGACCTCAAGCGGCACGCTCTGGTGCACTCAGGCCAGCGACCCTTCCGCTGTGAGGAGTGCGGGCGGGCCTTCGCCGAGCGTGCTAGTCTCACGAAGCACAGCCGGGTGCACTCGGGTGAGCGCCCCTTCCATTGCAACGCCTGTGGAAAATCCTTCGTGGTGTCATCAAGCCTGAGGAAGCACGAGCGGACCCATCGAAGCAGCGAGGCCGCAGGGGCTCCCCCACAACAGGAGCTGGTAGTGGGGTTGGCGCTGCCTGTGGGTGTGGCGGGTGAGGGCTCAGCCACCTCAGCAGCAGGGGCTGGGCTAGGGGAACCTCCTGCAGGACTGCTAGGGCTGCCCCCGGAGTCTGGGGGTGTAATGGCTACACAGTGGCAAGTAGTGGGCATGACAGTGGAGCACGTGGAGTGCCAGGAGGCTGGTATTGGGGAGGCTGCTGGTGCCCTGGGAGGGACAGGCGAGGTGGGGGGTGAGGAGGTTGACGAGAAGCCCCCACAGTTTGTGTGCCGCGAGTGCAAGGAGACCTTCTCCACACTGACACTGCTGCGGCGGCATGAGCGGTCACACCCGGAGCTCCGGCCCTTTCCCTGCACCCAGTGCGGAAAGAGCTTCTCAGACCGGGCTGGGCTGCGCAAGCACAGCCGTACCCACAGCTCTGTGCGCCCCTACACCTGCTCCCACTGTCCCAAGGCTTTCTTGAGTGCCAGCGACTTGCGCAAGCATGAACGCACCCACCCTGTGCCCATCGGAACCCCCACACCCCTGGAGCCCCTTGTGGCTTTGCTAGGAATGCCTGAAGAGGGGCCGGCCTGAAGCCCATGCCCCCCAGTCCACCACACTTCCAGGAGCCCAGCACCCATGGGGTACCTCCTGAGCCTCCTTTTGCCCCAGCTCACTCTTGAGACTCCAGATCCTTGCCCCTGGGCAACTAGCTTACCTGTTGCTCAGCTAAGATAGCTGGGGACGGTGGAATCTGGCAGCAGCTGTGAGAGACTTGATTCTCTCTGAGCAACACTCATTAAAGCTTTCACTTTGGCACTAGCTTGTCTCTGTGTTCTGGTTGGGGGTAACAGGGTTGAGGGGTGGGCATCAGATAGGGTTCAGTGGAGACCCCTGGATGGGCAGATTAGAAACTGGAAGGGGCCAGGCACGATGGCTCACGCCTGTAATCCTAGCACTCTGGGAGGCTGAGGCAGGCGGATCATTTGAGCTCAGGAGTTCGAGACCAACCTGAGCAAGAGGGAGACCCCGTCTCTACTAAAAAAATAGAAAGAAATTAGTTGGACAACTAAAAATATATATATGAAAAATTAGCCGGGCATGGTGGCACATGCCTGTAGTCCCAGCTACTCGGGAGGCTGAGGCAGTAGGATCGCTTGAGCCCAGGAGTTTGAGGTTGCTGTGAGCTAGGCTGACGCCACGGCACTCTAGCCTGGGCAGGCAACAGAGTGAGACTCTGTCTCCAAAAAAAAAAAAAAAAGAAAGAAACTGGAAGGGCCTTTGGATACATTGTTTTCCAAAGTATGTTTGGGAATGTCTTGTGACAGAGGGTTCCATGGCCAGGTAAGTACAGGACATTCCCTGTGCCCTTCTTGGGAATTCTTGATCAAAAATGTGTTGCAGGTATCGATAAGTCCTGCAATGCACAAATCTATTTAGTTTTGTTTAGCTCATACTTATTTGACCATGGAAACCTTTTATTGAGTAGTTCTACTTTTTTTTTTTTGACAGGGTCTTGCTGTGTTGCCCCGGCTAGAGTGCAGTGGCCTCATTATAGCTCACTGCAACCTCAAACTCCTGGGCTCAAGCAATCCTCCTGCCTCAGCCTCCTGAGTAGCTGGGACTACAGCCATGCACCACAATGCCCAGCTAAGTTTTCTATTTTGTTTAGAGACAGAGGTCTCACTTGCCCAGGCTGGTCTAGAACTCCTAACCTCAAGCAATCCTCCCACCTGGGCCTCCCAAAGTGCTAGTGATTCACCTGTACTACTTCTATCTTTTTATAGACAATGAACTGAGGCTAAAATTAGTATCTTAGCCAGGCATCGTGGTGCAAACTGGGAGAAACACTTGAACTCAAGATTTTGACATTGCCGTGAGTTATGATCAGGCCACTGCACTCCAGCCTAGGCAACACAGTGAGACTCTTGTCTTTAAAAAAAAAAAAAGCACCTTTCCTGTATGCTGCAATAACAAATTTGAAAATATTCTTGGACAAAAAAGGATTCCCATTCACAACAATAAGACCCATAGACTATAAAGGAATAAACGTCACAAAAAATGATCAAAACCTACATGAAGAAAATGGTCTTATCTCTGGCCTGAGGGCTATGAGATAAGACCCAAGTAAATGGAGACATATGCCACGCACCTCAATGGAAAGGCTCATTTGTAAAAGACGTGGATTCTCCCCAGTTTAATCCTTAAATTCATTGCCTTCCCAAAGGATTATTTAATAAGCTTGAAAATTCAACGTTTGTATGCAATATAATTTTTTTAAAACAGTAGAGGAGTTGTGTTTGACATACTAGATAATCAAACAGCAAAGCACTGGGGGAAAAAATTTACTTACTGGCACAAATGAATTAATTGGTGGGGTAGAGAGAGGGGTCAAAAACAGCCCTGAAGGCCGGGCGCGGTGGCTCACGCCTGTAATCCTAGCACTCTGGGAGGCCGAGG